GCCCGGCTACCTGGGGTTACTGGAGTTCCAGTAGACGGCGTGGCGGAGGCCGGAGCCCCCTCGCAGCGGGGAGCTGAGGAGCGCGGCCCAGAGGACAGTCCGCAGCAGGGGCAGCAGCCGCATCGCCCCCGGGGTCCGCTCTGGTCTGGTCCGGCCGGTCCCGGCCCGCTTCGCTGCCGCGGCGAGAAAGGTACAAAGTGGAGGTGGGGGGGGGGGGGGGGCGGTGCGGGGCTGGGGGTGGGGTGCGGAGACTCGCGGGCCACGCCCCCGGGTAACTTTCCACCAATGGGGGCGCACCCCCGCCTCTCCGCTCAGAGCCAACTCCTGTTAACCCACTGCGCGCCGAGGCGCACGCCGGGTTCACCCCGCTCCGACCCCGGCTGCGCCGCGTCGCGAGGGGGCGGGAGGGGCGACGTGGTCCGCTGCTGGGAGTCCGTTTTAGGGAGGTCGCGCCTTTCATGTCTAAGTTAGTACCGGGTAGGAGGCCTTATTGCAATTTGGGGGGACTGAAATAGGAGCACGCGCCCTCTGGCCCCAAGAGGCCGGCGAGGGTCTCCAAAGCCCGTCCGCCTCTACCTGAGAACGTTGCCCATTTTTTAATGCCGGTCCAGGGATATCGCGAGTGTCGGAAGGGACGGATCGCCTTCTGGGATTTCGCCCGCCCCCATTCCCCCTTACAGGGCCTTAGTGGTGAGCTCGTGCCCATCTCGGGCTTGGCGCTTGCCCCCTTCAGCCCCACACCTTCGTTCTGGGCTGGGGGCCCGCGCGGCCCCATTCCCGAAAACGAAATAATGAGGCCGATTGCGCCCTATACAATGCACCTTTGTTCCCAAGCCCTCAGGTGGGGCGCGGGGTGGTGGGGGGGGGGGGAGGAGGCAGGTGCACGGCCTTGGGATCGTGGGAGCCGCCGCCCCGCCCCGCCCCGGCTCCGGGGCTCTGACAACACCAGCCAGATCCACTTTTCCCAGCCACTGGTCAGGGGGTGGGGACGGCTTGGCCGCTTGGTTGATAGCCGCCTGTGGGGGCCGCGCAGACCTGGGGGCGAGGACTTGGCGACTGGCGGGTAGCACGGGGTTTTACAACTCCCCGTGGTACTGCAGTGCGCACAGGCCTCCCAGGCCGGGCAGAAACGAGCCGCGAGCATCCCGGGGACACGCGCCGAGCCGGCCTCTGACTCTCGCCCTCCCCGGCCCGCCTTCGTCCGAGGTGGCAGCGCCTCCTGGCGGCCAGACCTGGAACCGCAGCAGGGGCGACCCGGCCTTCCCACAGCCGACAAACTCCGAGGCACGCTGCCCAGACCTCACTGTTTATTGCACCAGAGCAGGAACAGGCTGTGTGCACCTCCCTCAGCCCAGTCCAGCGCCCAGCCCCTCCCCAACCCCAGCTTCCATGGCGTGAGGGGGTCCCTAGAGAGCTGCTCAGCGGACCGTGGCAGTGTCTGGGGTCCAGGCTCCGGCTCCCTCAGTCATCGCGGGGGACTCCAGGGACTGGTCGGCCTCTTGAAGTCCTAGGTCCGGGTGGCAGGCCGGGAAACCTCAGCAGAGGTCAGAGGTAGAGCAAGGACGCTGCTGGGGGCGGCGGTGCAGGTCTGGGGTGCAGACGCCAAGCACAGAGATCAGAGGTGCCCTTTCCCCAGACCATTCGCCCCTCCCACCCATCCTCCGCGCCCCTGCTCGCCTACCTGGACGGTACCACTACGGGTTGGATTCCAGTTTCTGGGCCAGGCAGGTCACCCGAAGGGCGCCGGCTCTGGGGGTTGGCAGGCAATGGCTTCCTCGGGGGTGGGGGCTTGGCGGGCCCCTGTGAGTGGGAGAGAAGGCAGGAGGCTGGCTTGGGAGGGGATGTCATGGTGCCCACCTGGTTGTTGGGGAACACCAGCTTGCGGGGCCGGCTTCAGAGGTCACCTCTGTCTCCAAACAAACCTGTCACCGGTAAAGGGCACCAGCGGATGTGCCCTTAGGCACAGAGGGGGCATCTCACCATGGCCACCACTGCCACGGCTATTAGCACCACAGCCCTGGGTGGGGGAGAGGCTGTGCCCTTCTCTCCCCACACTGTTACCTTAGGGTGCCTCACCACCGGGTCAGCGGGCAGAGGGCGGGTGGGGGGATTGGGTCGGTCAGCCAGCTCAGCCTGGACAGAGAGAGGGGCAGTGCTGTGAGAGCACAGCCAGGGGCAAGAGGCATGCAGTGGTTCTCTTGAGGGGTTCAGGTCAACATGCAAAGTCAGCCAGGGGGCAGGAGAGAATGGGGACATGCGCACAGGGCTTGGGTGCCTGCCAGCAGAAGCCTCAGGGGAGGAAGGCACGGGTCAGAGTGGTGTCCCTGGCCAGCTGCAGTCCTGCCACTGACCACCAGATGGCGGTAGAAACCAAGGCAGGAGGCTCACCCTTTGCTGATTCTGGGGCTCAGAGTGTCTGAAGGCTGAGGGGCACCCCGGTCCCCTAATGAAGAGCGCCACTGGCAGGGGACCAGGGTGAGAGCTGCAGCTGGGCACCAAGCCTCCCACCTGCCCTGGGCGAGGGCGGGGACTGGCCTGGATTTACCTGGAGTCTCTTGGGCACAGGGTCAGGAGGCAGCGGCCTGGAAGGGGGAGCCGGGAAGCCAAGAGCACTGGCCTGCTGAGAGAGCAGGAGGAGCAGACAGGCAGGGTGGGGGGGGGGGGGGGTTGGGGAGCACAGAGACAGATGTGGGCAGAGAGGGGTCAGTGCCTGCGGGTGGGGCAGCCAGGGCCCCAGGGGCGGTGGGCGCAGTGCATGCTGTTATCCAATTGTGTGCAGAGGGGGTGACGAGTGGTGGAGCTGGCATGCAGACCACCCCCCACACCCCTGCCGGGGGCTCAGGGGGCACTCACCAGCCCTCCTACCCACGGTGTCCTGGGCCTCATCAGGGTGTGGCACACCCAGGGCCCCTTCTGAGCACCACCCCCCTCGTCCTCCAGGGGCCCCTCTGGGAGCATCCGCAGACCCACCTCTCAAAGCCACCAGCTTGGCCAGCTCAGAGAGCTCAGCGGACCCTCCTCTAGGTGACTGCCCCTCCCCACTGCAGGCTGGACTCTGCTTCTGGGCCTGCAGCCAGGGGAGTGGGGGAGGGCTGGCCCTGACTCCTCTGGCCGACTCTTGGGCAGTGTGAGACTCTCTCTGAGTCTAGGGCCTTCAGTACCCCCGCCCCAGGGCCCAAGCCGGACGCTTGGACAAGGTGGGGCCTCTCTCCTCTGGTATCCATGACTCACCTTGGCACCTGGCATCAGCAGGACCCTCTGCGGGGGTCCTGGGCGTTCTGGGGGACCAGACTGGGCTGCCCTGGACGTGGAGAAAAGGAGGCAGGGGGCCCAGCCTCAGACCACGCTCTCCACCCGCACGCGACCCTTGAGTGCGGTGGACGCAACCCCTTGGAGAGCAAGGGTTTAGCCCAGTCAGAGTGGGGAGGCGGGGGCGGGGGGGGGGTGATGAGCCGGAGCGAGGGCCCCACTTAGCACAGGGGTCCCCGGCTGCCCTCCGTGGGTCTCCGTGTGAGGTGAAGAGTTACGGGGCGTGTGCAGAGAAGGGAGGTGTGGGGGGGCGGTCCGAGGGGCTGGCGATCGGAAGCCGGTGGGGGGCGCTGCAGACGGGGTGGGGCAGGACCCCACGGCCGTCGTGTGCCGCAGGGCGGTCGAGGGAGCCGCGGCAAGGAGCCTGGTACCTGTACTGGCAGCTGGGGCCTTTGAGCTGACAGAGCCGTTGGCGCAGGCGGGCACGGTGCCAGTAGCTGGCGCCCAGGAGCATCAGGGCCACCAACAGCAGGAGGCTGAGGGGCAGCCCTGTGGTCAGGGAGCTGGTTGCTGTGGGGAGAAGGCGGGTGGGGCTAGGATCCTACACCCAGGAAGGGGTGGCAGGTGGGGAGGGGGAAGTGATCAGAGAACCCCAAGGGGTCAAGAAAGGGCGGGGGGGGGGTAAGGAAGCCACTGTGCCCTCTCCCCTCTCCCCTCCTCCTCCCCCCCCACCTCTGCTGCGGTTGGCGCAGTCCGGCGGCGCCCAGCCCTCCTCGCAGCGGCAGTGTCCTTTGCTGTCGCAGACCTAGGGGTACAGGCTGAGTAACGAGGGGCCCATTCCCCTGTCCCAGCTTTTCAGGAGCTCCTAAGTGCACAACCGGGAGGTGTGCCGGGGTGATGGGATGGAGAGAGGGACAGTTTATCCACGGCAGACCAGGTGAAACCAAACTAGCCCCGTGAGCGCCTTCTCTGTGCCAGGCACTGTACCGGAAACTCCCATGTCCTCTCACGCACCAGGAACTGGGTACTATTATTCCGCCCACTGGATAGTCGAGGAGGCTGAGCTCAGGGAGGTTAATAATCTGCCTGAAGTCACACAGCTAGGCGGCAGCAGGGCAGGGGTCGGAAGCTAGGTGTGTGTGTTTCCCAGCCTGTCACCGTTCTCATCCCCGGAGGCTGCCTGCTCCCCACCCCCCGTCTCCCCCAGGCCAGCTCACCCCGTGCCCATGGCACTTGCTTCGACATTCCTGCGCTCTCAGGAGACCCACGGGCTGACATCGACGGTCAATGCACACCTGCCCAGGGGAGGAAGAACAAAGATCAGGTTCTCACGAAGCTTCCCTGGCCCTGGGAGGCCAGCGCGGCTGAGTGGCGGATGGAGAAACCGAGGCCCACGGGAGGACAGGACTTCGCTCGGGCCAAAGAGAGGATCTGAACCCCCCCTCAGAGTCTGTGCCTTTTACACGGTGGACAGTGAGGCCCGGGCACTGCTCGCCGTGGTCCAGACACCCCTCCCCTCCTGGTCTTGCCCCCTTGGGACTGCTCACCAGGTCAGGACCACAGGCTGTGCCGGGCAGAGTCAGGAGGGGCTGGGCCACGTCATTGCCCAGGTCCAGGTGGACCCAGCTGCAGTTCAGCTCCGGCTGGGTCCCGTTGGCCTCTAGTATCTCCCAGCGCAGATCCCGGGCTGAGCCCCGCAGCGGCCGGGCCCAACCCCCCTGGCACTGGAGCTGCCCGCACATGGCGTCTCTGAGGTGAGGGAGGAGGTGCGGGGTCAGGTGAGGCCCCCACAAACCCAGAGGAGAATCCAGGTTTCGTCACTTACTTAGGGGCACAGGACGCGTAGCTGCCATCAGGGCTGCGTCCACAGCTCCCGAAGGCATCGCCTCTCGTATTGGCGGTAAGGAGGCAGCGCGGTGCGGCAGGCTGGGCCCCGGGTCCCCAGAGAGCCTGGCACTGCTGGGCATAGGAAGCGCAGCGCCCCTGCACGCACACAGCCTGGTCCCCCGCGCACGGCTCGCCGTCCCCCAGGCTGACGTCAGGAGGGCACTGGGGGCTGTCTCCCGAGCAGAACTCTGCGAGGTCACAGTCCCCTCTGGCAGGGCGGCACTGCCAGCCGGCTGGGCGCAGCTAGGGGGGTGGGGGAGGGTCAGAAGGGGTGCCGGGCAGGTCCAGCCCGGCCCTGGGGGGTCACAGGGACCCTTCCCGCCGTGGCCCCGGGCGGGTGATCTGTGGCGGCCGGTCCAGTCCGTGCCCACCTGGCAATCCTGACAACAGAGCCCGCCGGACGCGCACTGCGCCCCAGGCTTCAGCTGGCAGGTGAAGTCATCGCAACAGGGGTCGGTGCATTCCTGGGGACATGGGGGGGGGGGGGGGCTGCGTCAGGGCGGGCTGGGCCCGAGAGCCTACCTCCTCCCCTCCACCCAGGGCAGCCATCAGAAGGACGCAGCGGCAAGTAAAGGCCAGAGCCCAACCACCCGCGTGGTGTCCCTGCCGGCGGGGAGGGGCGGAGAGGAGCGGGCCGGCCCTTGAGAGCCCACGAAGGGGCTCTGGAGGCTCGGAGCGGGGTAGTGAGCCAGGGCCAGGGCACAGGAGTGAGTGGGGCAGGGCTTCGGGCGAGGGGCTCACGTCCGGGAAGCCACAGTCACACTGCTCGCCCGGCTCCACCAACATATTTCCGCAGACCGCGGCCATAGAGGGCAGGCCGGGCCGCCGTTCGAAGAGGCAGCTGCCCATCCCCTCCAGGAGAGCCTCCTCCAGGGCCCGCCGGCTGCAGTTGCTGAAGTTGAGGCCTGGCAGGAAGCTGGGGACGGTGGGGGAGAGGTTGGGGCTGCAGCCACCCCCGGCCCCTGCCCCTGCCCGCTGTGCGTCCTGCAGCCACTCACTCTGTGGAGGCCTCCATGATGCAGCTCTTGGCCGGGGCCGGGCCCGGGCAGGGGCAGCTGTTCCCTGGCAAGTCGTGGTCCAGGCCCAGGCTGTGGCCCAGCTCGTGAGCTATGGAGGACGCAACCCCCAGGACGCTGGTGGAGTGGTCCTGGCATTGGGGAGGGGACACCCCAGGTCCAGCACCAGCCTGACTCTCTTGTTCCCTCCTCATCTGACCTCTTGGGCGCTCAGCCTCCCTCCTTCACTGCTTCTGGAGTAGGAGGAGAGCCCGGGCCTGGGTGGTGGGAAGGCTTAGAGCTCGCTCAGCTCTGTTCCTGTCCCTTACGTGTGGCCCTGGGCACTCACCTCTGTTCTGTGGGCCTCAGCCACCCCCTCCTCCCCCGCGAGGTGCCCTCACAGGCGAAGCCCCCACGTAACGGTGCCGTGACAGCAGGGGCCGTGTCCTACCCGCCGTCCTCCCCCCCCCCCCCCCCCCCCCCCCCACCCCCGTCCCCACATCCGCGGCTTTGGGGTAGGTAACTCGGTGGGGTTGGGGCGGGGCACGTGGAGGAAGCGACGTGCGAGGGCCCCGGCATCGCTCACCATGTTCACACCCCCCGAGAAATCAGGAGAGCAGATGGAATTCTGAACGGCCATGCCCACCGCGGGCCCGGAGAACGAGGTGGCACTGTGGGATCGCAGGGCCACAGGTCAGCCCAGAGCTTCAGGGCCGCAGGCAGGGAGCTGGGGCGCCGCCTGGGGTCTTACGTCACGAGCTGGGCGCTGTCGTGGGGCAGTCGAGGCAGTAAGTCTTCCCGCCGCCAGCGCAGGAAGTTGTGTAGCGTGAGGCCGGGGTCCCGGCTGATCTCCACCAGGTCACGCTGGCTCCAGGCCTCCAGGCCCACCAGCGCCACCCGGACGTTCAGGGGCCGGAAGAACTGAAAGAGAACGGGGGGCTCAGGAGAGGGGTCCCCGCGGCCACAGGGCCGTCCGGCTGCTGCTGGGCCCGGCACTCACGGTGTCCAGGAGAAAGGCCACCTTCAGCATGCGGGTCAGCAGGTACTGGAAGTCCGGGTACCTCTGGACCTGCGGCTCAAGGGAAACGACCGTGAAAAGGAGCAGCCTTGGCGCGGGGGGGCGGGGGGGGGACCAGGACAGGGCGGGCGGTGTGGGGGGGGTTGGGGGGGGGGGCAGGACACGCAGCACCTGCAAGCTCACCTCAGAATGGTCGGCCACGAGCACCAGCTCAATAACCTTGGTCTCTGCCACCACGTCCCGCCTCCGCTGGGGACAAGAAGGGGTGTCAGGCACACTCCTCCCGCCGGGGCCACACGGGGCTGCCGGAGCTGTGTCCGCTCCCACCCTGTGTGCTCCAGCGGAGGAGAGCAGAGAGCCCGTTTCACAGAGGAAGCCCTGAGAGCCTGAGAGGCCAGGGACTTGCCCAAGGTGGACCGAGAAGTAGGTCATGAAGCTGGGAGTAGAGCCTTGCTTCTCTGGCTCCAAACTCAGTACTTTTCCTGAATTAAAAAAAAATAAGACTGGGGCGCCCGGCTGGCCCAGTCGGATGAGCATGCGACTCTTGATCTCGGGGGTCGTAAGTCTGAGCCCCACACTGGGTACAGAGATTACTAAAAACAACCAAAACAATAAACAGGGGGCACCTGTGTGGCTCAGTCGGTTAAGCGCCCGACTTCGGCTCAGGTCATGATCTCACAGTTCGTGGGTTCAAGCCCTGCGTCGGGCTCTGTGCTGACAGCTCAGAGCCTGGAGCCTGCTTCGGATTCTGCGTCTCCCTCTCTCTCTCCGCTCCTCCCCCCACTCAAGGTCTGTCTCTCTCTCAAAAATAAACGTTAAAAAAAACCACAATAAATAAACTTTAAGAAGTAAATAATAAAATAATAGCCAACACTGTCGTATATTTACCTACCTCAGGCACAGTTTAAGCACCATATAGATACTTGATAGATAGATGGATATAGACTCGTTTAAGCTCCACAGTAAGCCTAGAGAGTAAGTAGCTTATTCTCCCCAATTTATAAATGAGGGAGCTGGACTCATACTGCTTTATGCCTGGTGACCGTGTGGTCTGTAGCCAAGCACTGTCCGCACATGGGATCATACGGCCCATGAAGAGTCTGAGTCAGGTCCCTGCGTCTAAACCCCGCATATGTCATTTAGTGGTTGAACAGCTTTGGGCAAGTCACTGCCTCTCTCTCTCTCTCTGAGCTGCTTTTCTAACAAAGACGGAGCTACTGCCAGCCCGAACCTCCCAGGGTTTCGGGAGGAGGAGAGCAGATTATGTTCACACGGGGCCCGACCCAGGGCAACAGCTCCTTAGAAGGTACTGGAAACAAAGATCTCTGAGGGTCCGGGGCCTGGCCCTCAGGGACAACAGAAGCCTGGCCTCTTGCTGTCATCCTCACCCGACGACTGCGCGTGTGGCTGTGGCGCCGTCCCCGGGGCCGCTCCTGGGGAGCCCGCGTGGCCGCAGATGCGTGCCAGCTCAACCCACAGGTGCGGCCTGGCAGGAGGAGGTCTCGGGTCCGGGAGATGATGGGGGCGGCTCGCAGGTCCCCGGGCCCCAGCTCCAAGGTGTAGCTTCTCTCGGGGGACAGGACCACCAGACCCCTGGGAGGAGGCAGGAAGTCAGAAGACCTCTCAGCTCCACTCCTCACACCGCCTCGCTCTCTCCACCCCGGTGGGATGCGCCCTCTGTACCTGAGCCCTGAGCAGGTGCACACCGACGCCCAGGAGCCCACGTGGCCCTGTACCACTCCCTGGTAGCAGCAGCTCTCCTACAGCAGAGAAAGGTCGGTGCTACCCCAAAGGTCAGGGTTGGAGCCCAGGAGGCTAGCTAGCCCGTCGGTGGAAGCTGGTGAAGGTGCACCCCACATCCCGTAGCGACGACACCCTCCATCTGGCCCCTGGCGCCGCCCGCGGGCCGGAGACAGGACACTAGACTCACCGGAGTGTGTCCCTCGCTGACCACACGGGTGCCGTCGGGCTCGTACCACATCAGGTGTGGGCGGCCTGGGACCAGCTCCCTGTGGAGTGAAGAGAAACGGGAGCAATGACAGTTACCCCCAGGGCGGCGCGGCGACAGCCTGAGGTCCAGAGGTGGTAAGGGGTGGCTGGGGCCAGGGCTCCCCCGAGGCCGCAGAGCAGAGCGGTCGGGCCGCAAACTCTGCCAGGCTATCTGGGTTTTAGACCACACGCCAGCTGTGTGACCTTGGGCAGGTTATGTAACCTCTCTGTGCCTTGACTTCTCCACATGTAGAATGAAAACAGCAACATCATAGTATTTACCTTATAGGTCGTTAGAAGGATTAAGAGAGTTCGAGCACTTAGTAAATGTCACGTACGGTTGTTACTTGTGCTGTTATTGTCGTTACCACCGTCATTGTTACCTATTCTGCAGCAGCTCCAGGGTTTGACTCTCACCGTCCAATTCCAATCTGATCCGCAGAGCCTCAGGCAGATTGGTCTGCGGGCACCAGAGGGTATGTCACCTCCCTGGCCCCGCCTGAAACGCCCATCAGTCTCTAACCAGAAAACCTCAGACCCTTAGGAGAGTACCAACGATTAGGTCACTGGTGGGGGGGGGGGGCCCGAGGGGGGGGCCAGGAAGCCCTGCCCGGCCTGGGGCATTGTTCTGGGGGGCTGTGTGCGAGGTCAAGGAAGGTATCTGAGCCGCCCCTTCTCGGCTTCCTGCCCAGAGAGGAAGCATCATGGAAGAGCTGGCACACGCCCCAGCCCTTCCTCTGACTCAGCGTTGGAATTGGGGAGGGGGGTGCCTGGTGAGGCCCTGACCTTCCCCCACTGAGAAAACCCGCAGAATGAGACCCCGAAGGCAAGTCTGGCCTCAGGGTCTCCCCAGGAGATGGACGGGGTCGGGTGGGGCTGAGGCCGGGCAGATGCGTGTTGGGGGAGAGGGGATAAGGGAAGCCAGGTGCTGGGGTGTGGCCGGAGGGGCAGCCAGACCTGGGGTGGCCGTGCCACATGAGGTCCACTCACCTGCTCCTCAGAAAGGGCTGGTTATGGGGGCGGCAGGGACTGTGTTCTGTGCTTGAAGGGACAGGGGGGCTCACCTGGAGCATCTCCGCTAGGCTGAGTGTGGGGCTGTCTTGAAAGATCTGGGGCTCCGAGTGTCCACCCAGGGCCCTCTCTGGCCTTGTCCGCTCCTCCACAGGGCCACCTGCAGGGTCCCCAGGACACCCCAAGAGAGTGCTGAGCGAGCCAGCCCCTGGCGCTGGGCACAGCCGGTGACTGTGGCCACTCAGGGCCCTTCTCGGCTGGAAGGACTCCTGCACTGCATTCTGGGACTTAAAGGAGCAAGCCCCAGGAGAGGGGCTTCTCTCCACCCCTCACTTTCACCCCTACCCCACCTGCAGGTCCCCAGGGAAAGTTCAGCTTGCCCCGCCTGGGGCCCCCTCCCTGTCCCCCC